CACCTTGGAGTTAGCATGTGTCTAACTCCATTTCATTAAAAGGTTCTTTTCTTTATTTTAAAGCTTTGGCTATAATAGTCAGAAAGGTGATAAATAAAAACAAACTGAACTGTATTTAATTTAAAGAAAAGAGAAGAAAAACTAAAACTCAATCTCTATGTAAGCTCACGGTGTCATAAAGCAAGAGGGTTTTCCTAGTTTTATGAGAATTTGTACTACTGACTTTTATATCCTCTTGTTTTTGCGACGAATAGCTCCCTGGGGGACTTTGTTGAGTTCCAATGGCATTTCACTGTAATCCCTTTGAACTCAAATCAGTTCTCTAATGCCATGACAAGCTGTCTCTGGTTGACTGTCCTGTGAAAAGTCAGCTCCACTTTTCTGGAAGTCGCGTGTGTACAATGAGTCAATGTCGGTGTGGGAACGAAGGGGACATCTGTAATATTTTCAACAATAAATATTTTTTTTAAATATATGAGGTTGTTGTTGTTAAAAAAATTGTTTTCTCCCACCTTTAAGAAACACTTTAGTGGCCTAGAGTCAGTAGAATGATGAGAATGGTGGAGTTATTTAATATAGGGTGTCCTCAAAAACTGAATAATTATAAAGGCCATGTTTATTAAAATACATGTTAGCTCTAGCCAGTTTTGCTCATTGGACTGTGGACTGAAGGGTCCTGGGTTCAATTCCAGTCAAAAGCACATGCCTAGGTGGCAGGCTCAGGCCCCAGGTAGGGGACATGCAGGAGGCAGCTGATCAATGATTATCTCTATATTGATGTTTCTATCTCTCCCTCCCCCTTCCTCTCTCAAACCAATAGAAACATTAAAAAAAAAAAAAAAAAAAATTTCATTTTCAAAATTGAGCTATCAGTTGTTAAACTGTGTTACATTTTCTTGGACACCCTGCATATGAGGCAGATAAATCTGGTTCACCACTGCTGATTGGTGCTTCCTTTCATAGTATATAGTTGTTGCTTTAAGTAGCTTTCCAGCCAGGCACTACGTTTCCTATGCCAACCACACACAAACCCCATTCACATTCTATTGGCCAAAACCATTCACGTGACCACAAACATCTAGGTGGGCCAATTGCAAGCAATAGAAGTGATGTGTGTCTCCTCCAAGCTGTGTGTGCTTTCTCCATAGCATCTTCATATTCGCCCGCAAGCCTGGGATCATCTGCTGAAGATGGCTACCATGTAAGATGGAATGAAGCAGAATCCCTAAATCAATATTAGGAGAGTTGCCTAATTAAGAAAGAATATCTATATTGAATGTTGTATGAGAAGGAATAAAATTTTGTGTTATAACATTGTGCTTTAGGAGATTTTGGTCGAGTTCATCTACCTTGACCAAATGGCAGACATCAAACAAGTATAACTGTAAATATTCTCAGGATCTAAGATCATCTGGGAAAATAGAAGAGAAGCACAAGGAAGAAAAAAGCTCAGACAGAAAAGAAAAACCCAGGAGGGGAGAAATTAGTTCATTTCCTGGGTCAACCCCTAAAAGTACCTGCTCTTAGAAAAATCAGTCCATTGGCCTGCTCAGTATGGCTCAGTGGTTGAGCATCTACCTATGAACCAGGAAGTCATGCCTGAGTTGAGGGCTCTATCCCCAATAAGGGGCATGAAGTAGACAGCTGACTAATGATTCTCTTTCATCATTGATGTTTCTCTCTCTCTCTCTCTCTCTCTCTCTCTCTTTCTCTCTCTCTCTCTCTCTCTCTCTCTCTCTCTCTCTCTCTCTCTCTCTCTCACTTTTTCCCTTCTTCTTTGAAATCAATAATAATTATATTTTTTAAAAGAAAAATCAGTTCATTGACCTGAAGCAATGTGGACTACGATGGAAAGGTTGGTTATTCAGACAATTATCATTTTGGTAAACATACAGTCAGAAAAAATTCTAAACAATCTTTGCCATGTTGAAAATAAGCAGTGCTAAGATGCTTTCCTGGCATTTTAAACACAATATCATATTTTATCTGTGGGATAACTGGTGAAAATATTGGGTTGAAGAAACTCAGAGAAACATTCAAGGGGAAAGGATAAGATAGAAAAACAATGAAAAACTAAAGACTCAAAGTATGAAAAAGAAGTTACAAAGTAGTTTCAAAAAAGGAATAGAAGTTTACGGATTTCAGGATACTGTTTGTAGAGCTAGAAATTAGAGATGGTAGAGAAAAATGCTTTGAAGACTTAAGAAGTATACTTATTCATCCATCAGTTTATTCAACAAATATTTACTGAGCAACAACTATATGCTGTGTCTGTGATTGACACCAGGGATAGAATAATTGTAAATAAGCCCTTTGGTGTTCATAGTCTCCTTAAACAGAAAATAAAGAATGGTGATACATAGTACCCTACTCCTCAGAAGGGCAACTGTTGACTCAAAAATATAGTGAAGGCCAGCGGAGAAAGGGAGCACTGTTCCTCTCCCATTACAACTCTGTGTCCCTACGTTCTGTGTCAGCTCTCTGAAGGGGACAAATTGGCTGAAGAAAGTGGAAAGTCTCAGACTTCAGCAGACCGTGACAAAAAGAGAGCTAAATAATTATTACTAAGAAAATGAAATTACTTTTTATCACCACACACTGAATAGCTTTCCTGATTGTTTTTCAGTAAGACTGCAATAGCAGAGGTGGCAGAATGCACAATTCCTGATAATGACAATAGGACTGAAAAAATTAGTCTCCTGTGTGCAAAATAACATCCACCACAATGGGCAATCCGTGCCTGCTCTCTCTGGACCTTTGCTGAACAGAATACCAGTGCAGGCTAATTACATGAGCAGCTGAAACCTGTGTGTGTACTGGAAAGCTGCAAGAATACCCCCTGAAGAATAGCCCAGGAAAAGTCTTAGTACCAAACACAAAATAACAGAAAAAAATCGAGAGAGCAGACATGAGAGCATCTGCACAGGCATTTTCATTAGCATCCTACAGTTAACCATTATTGTGAATGCACATAAAAGAGCTGTAATATTCTCTGCCTTAGAAAACACCTTCCTGGATGCAGGAATTCCGCAACCACTTCCCTCCCCCCGCCCCCCCCACCGTGCTGACCCAAGTGCTCTGCTCCAAGGAACAGCTATGGAACAGCCTTACATTGAGGACTTTTGTCACTTTGAGGTGCAAAAATAGTTCGTGTCAGAAAGAGTGTTCAAGAGTCAAAGGCCACTTCCACACACTGATTCACATGTTAGGCAAGGAGTACAACTGGATTGTCACAGGGGAAGCAGAGCAAGGACCAGTTTTTCCAAGTTCTACTCTTCATGAGGCGAGATGCCATTTATCTGCAAGAGGTTTCAAATTTGAGTTCCTCAGGAAAAGTTTCAGAAAGAGCTCAGTAAATAACAACAAATGGCTCCAATATGACCCAAACAGATGTGCAGCCCCATATATAATGCGTGAGCTACTGTAAGTCCACCCCAAATCCAATGAATTTATTGTTTGAGAAGAAATGCATCGGCAAGTGTTCATTCTTGCCATCTGCGCAGTAAGCGAGGGTCCTGGCAGGAATGATGGCCCAGATTGTGTCATTTAAGAAAGGCTTAAAGTAGGGGTATTCCCTAAAAGCGTGGGCAAAATGTAGGGAAATCCATGTACAGTATCAGGGGACTATTTATAGCCTATACCTAAGAAGAATCCAGGGGAAGGAGAGGGGAGGGGAGGAGAGAGGAGGGGAGTGCAGAGCAAGGGAGGAGATGGGTTCTAACAAAAGTCAAGGCTTTCATTCAGGATGTAACAGCTTCCTTCAGTCAAGGATGTAACTGACCTGGAGGAACACCACAATAAGAAAGCTTCTTTCCTTATTCCCTTTTTCTGATCAATTTCTAGTGCTCCTCTCTGGGTCAAGTCCAAGGAAAACCAGGCCACAAAGGAGCCTATAGATTAAAGTCCTTGTAGGTTGGGCTCCCAGAGCAAAGAATGACCCAGACAAAACCATAGTGAAGAGAGAAAAGTGGGTCAGGTGTGGCAAATGGATGGTCCTCAGCACAGGCCGCTTCTCCAGGAAGCTTAGGGCCCATCGGCTTAGGAATGAAGGAACAGGAAACAAAATTGAAATAGGGCTAGCCTTTTGTGATAAACTGAGCTAACCAGACTAATTGTCCAACCAGACTAATCAAAATCAGAGATCTCGCCCAGTATCAGGCTTTCCTACTGATTTGAAGGATCCAGGCAGTGGAGAGTCTCAGACAAAGCAGAGAGGAGCTTGGGACAGCGAGGATGCTCCCTGGCCCTGTCTTCCTGCACTGGGCATGCCTGTGGCTTAGAACAGCAGGCGAGGTCTCAAAGTGAGGTCCGTGGGGTCCTTGGCACAGCAGGAACATTTAAACTACTGCATGTCCCCCTTTTACGCAGAGACTTGGATGGCCTAGGAACCGCTCTCCAGGGAGACCTGCCTCAGAAATCCTGGGTCCCATTTACTGTAAATAATCCCTGAGACAGGGAACAGCTCTCAATCAATAAGGACTCTTTCTCTCAGCAGCTATCATTAGCCCATAACCCAGAGGTGCAGTTAAAAAGAGATCAGACCAAGTTGCCTACTTTGGTTTCTCCTCACACAATCTCCCACACCCCCAGAGAAGGGAGTGAATGCATTTCAGGCAGTCTTTTTAACTCCTTCCTCCCACAAACACTATGTTTATAATATATATATATATACCTAAGTGACAGGAACACCAGAGTGGCTGGAAGGCCCCGTTGCTATGACATGTACTGACTGACCATCAGGGGGCAGATGCTCAATGCAGGAGCTGCCCCCTAGTGGTCAGTGTGCTCCCACAGCCAACCTCCTATGGCTGGCCAACCAACCCTGGTCCCTCCCTGTGGCCAGCCAACATCCTGTGGTCCCTCGCCCCGTCCTGCAGGCCCAAGTCAGCAGCTGGAAGGCCCCAATTGGCCCTGATTGCAGACCAGGCCTATGGACGCTACCTGTGCACAAATTTTGTGCACTGGGCCTCTGGTTTAGAATAGAAAAGTATAAAACTTACTTTTTCCTATTGTTAGCGAGCTTCTGTAAGTCATCTTGCAGATTCATGCACCTCTCCGACTGCTGGAGCAACTTATTCAGGTAGGTACTATTTCATGGAAGAGATTTTAAAGAAAGGTTGATTTAAAATGAGAGCTTACAAGATGCTGTTAATAGAAACCAGATTTAATTGCTAAACTGTGCTCAAATGAAGTCTGGTGTGTATTCCATTATTAGATTTCTCGGTGGAAAAGGAAATTGATATTTTCACTTCTGTTGGGTCTAAAAAAAAATCTCACACTATAATGTCAAAAAGAAAAGAACTCCTTTGGAAAATGTTACATTTTCATGTTTTCCTGTTTTAAGGTTATTGTGTGCAATGAACGTGTTATTGAATTGTTTAACCATTGTGTGTGTGAGCAGACTTTATTTTTAAAAGATGTCACAGGTAGGAGGCATGCAGACAAAGGAGATCAACAGTTCTCTCCAGAAAGATACAAAGTAAATCTAGCCTTTGATGATTATAGTAGCCATGAAATAGGGCCTTTTGCAATAGCAACCTCTTAATAGCTATTGCTTTATGAACTTGAAAAACTGGAGCTGGAACAAAACCAAATAAAAAAATAAGGCCCTGGCCAGAGTTTCTCAGTAGTTAGAGCATCAGCCAGAGCACCGGAGAGTCTGAGGTTTGATTTCCAGTCAAGGACACATACCTGGGTTGCAGGTTCAATCTGATCCCAGTCGGGCATGTGTGGGAGGCAGTCAATAAATCAATCAATGTATCTCTCTCACATCGATGTTTCTCTCCTTCCCTCCCTTCCACTCTATCTAAAATCAATGGGAAAATATCCTCCAAAAGGACTAACTACAGTAAAGAGCAAGGGGTTATGGAGTCAGGTTACCTATGAAACTCGTGGACATGTATGTGCTACTGAACCACTCCAGGCATCAATTTCCACATCTCTGGTCCTTCCCTCGAAGTGTTATTGTCATCATATGTACAATAACATAGAAGTGGATCTAAAGCACTTGACACCATGCCTAAATAGCAAATATTCAAAACCGTGTAACATCATTTTCCTTAGCCTTCAAATTGTTCATACAACTCTGACTACTGTTAACCCATTTATTTGACCATTCTGAAGGTATTTGCTGAAGACAGCTTAATATGGGCTGGGGGCCAGGCACAGGATGCTTAGGATGTGATGGTGATAAAGCAATCATGGACTCTTTCCCTAGTGGGGCTTGCATTCTGGTTAGGAAGAAAGATTCTTCAAACAAAAACAAATAAAAAAAAACACAAAAGTGAATATAGTATAGAATTATGAGCTGTGATTAGGTGGGTGCCTTGGAGGAGAGTAAGAGAGAGACCACTGCATACTGAGGGGCCCCTGAGATGGTATCCTTTAGGTGATGATCTCAAGAATAATGCAGATGAACTAGATGAACTTTGGGCTGAGTGTGTGTTTGGGGGACGGGGAGGGAGACATTCAGGCTGAGAAAAAAGCCTGTGCAGAGGCCCCAGAATGGGGAGTAACCAGAATGTTTGAGGAATTGGAAGAAGGCAGGTGGGTCTCACAGCTAAAGGCTAACGGGTGTTGGGAGTAAGAAGGGCCGGAGCACACAGGCCTGGTGAACCACGTTGTGCATTTATCTGCATAAGGAGCAATGCAAGGTTTGGGGCAGGAGAGGGATGTGACCCAACATATGTTTTAAGAGGCTCACTACAGAGAAAAATGAAATAAGAGGAAGTAAGATGCAGAAAATGTGATAAAGTTAGGAGGGTTCTAGGAGAGAGATGATGGCCACTGAGACTATGATGTCATAAAAAACACCCAACTCATAGTTGTTTTACACGACAAAACAACTTTGTTACTTGCTCATGAAATACCCACTGCGTGACTGGGTGGCTGTCCAGGGCAGCTGTGCACCTTCATTTCAACAGCCTGCTTCCACCACTGCTGCAGCAGAAGATGCCGGATGCGGCCTTACCCTGGGTCTGAATGGTCTACCCCGGCCAGAACTAGTCACTCCCCCAGCCTGATAGCAACGTGGGAGTCAGAAAAGAGCGCCCGACCTGAGTGCCCAGAAAAAGACATGGTCCTTGGCACCAGCCTACCCAGCAGCCTGAGAGCAGCTACCAGATGTAAGATCTATCCTGAAGATAAAACTGACAGGACTTCAAAATAAATTGGATATGGGAGGTGAGGGAGCAGGAGGTGTACGGGCAGAGATATAAACAAGAAAGTTCCATAATTAATTCTCCAATATTTCTCAGAAATGCCTTTGCAAAACACTGTGCAAAGTGTATATATGGGCATGTAAAATCCCTCTTTATCCTGATATGATTTTTCTCCCCTCCCCCACTGCCTTCCTTCATCTCCCTCCTTCTGTCTACATGCCTCACCTTCTGTGCTTCCTGAATGTGTAATCATACTTTCCAAGCATTTGTTTATTTTTAATTGGCTATGTATTTTATTCGGGCAGCGCCATTAATGAAGTGAATTACCAAGCCAGCAGTGCTTTGAATTATGATGGCTTTGCAATATTGAATTGTAAAACTGCAACAAGCAAGCACCCATAGGATTTACTGTCATAAAACTTTCCTTAAATTGGAGAGTATCTTTGTTAATAAAAAGTCAAAACAGTTTTGCCCAACTTAATCATACACGACGAATGGAAGTGAAGTGTCAGGTATAAAGTAGCAATCCCTATATAATTATCCTATATAATAAAGAGGTAATATGCAAATTGTCACTCCAACACACGAGATGGCTGCCCCATGTGGTCAAAAATGGCTGCTCCCATGTGGACACAAGATGGACAGCAGGAGAGGGCAGTTGGGGAGGACCAGGCCTGCAGGGGAGGGCAGTTGGGAAGGACCAGCCTGCAGGGGAGGGCAGTAAGGAGTGATCAGGCTGATAAGGGAGGGAGTTAACGGTGACCGGGCCAGCAGGGAGGGCAGTTTGGGGCAACCAGGCCAGCAGGGGAGGGCAGTTAGGGGCAATTGGGCTGACAGGGGAGCAGTTAGGCATTGATCAGACTGGCAGGAGAGTGGTTAGGGGGTGGTCAGGCTGGCAGGAAGAAGCAGTTAGGGGCAATCAGGCAGGTGAGCAGTTGGGACCCAGCAATCCTGGATTGTGAGAGGGATCCCAGATTGGAGAACGTGCCAGTTGGGCTGAGGGACACACACACACACCTTCCCACCCCATGCACAAATTTCATGCACCAGACCTCTAGTGAGAGAATAAAATCAGAGGAAAAAGAAACAGCATCTTAAGGGTCCTGCTTTTGAACCTGGGCTCCCCTCGTTGACTGTGGTCTTTGAACTTAAGGGTTTCCTTTTTAAAACATTTACTCAATAAAGTAGTTATAGGTGTGCAATAGATGGAATGTTTGTCTCCCTAAATTCACTTGTTGAAATTTCCCAAGATTATGGAATTCAGAGCTGGGGCTCTGGGAGGTGATAATGCTCATGAAAGGGGAGCCCTCTCCAATGGGATTAATGCCCTTAGAAAGTCGGCCTGACAGAGTTTTTGCTCCTTATGCCTATGGGTGACAGTGAAAAGACAGCCATGTATGAGGAATTGGAATTTCACCACAAGACCCCAGATCTGCAGGTGTCAGGATCTTAAATTTCTCAGCCTTCAGAAGTGTGAGAAATAAATATATGCTCTTTATAAACCACCCTTTCTTTCTATAGTATTCTGTTATAGAGACCCAAATGGACTGAGACTAGGGTTTATACAGGATGTGTTTTAAAACACCTGGCTCCCTAACCAGTTTGGCTCAGTGGAAAGTGTTGGTCTGTGGATCGATTCTGGTCAAGGGCATGTACCTTGGTTGCAGGCTCAACCCCAGTAGGGGGTGTGCAGGAGGCAGCTGATCGATGTTTCTCTTTCATGGATGTTTCTAATTCTCTATCCCTCTCTCTTCCTCTCTGTAAAAAAAAAAAATCAATAAAATATATTTTTAAAAATAATTATAAAATTAAAACACCTGGCATACAGAAGTCAATGAATAAATGCTGTGTTCTTATTCTCCTAAACACAACATTGTATTATTTCCTCAAATCACATGGGTCATTATTCCCACAGGGCTCAGCAACTGCTCCCACCCATGGACAGTCATGTCCCAGTGAAAGGAACAGAAAAGGAAGTCCATTGAGTTTCTCTCTTTTTTCTCTTTCTCTCCTGTCCCCTTTTCATTCAAAGAATCTTCACAGTTTTCTTCCTTTTCACCTATTGTCATTAAAACCCTCCTAGAATCCTATGGTAGCCCTATTGTTAATGTTTCGAGGAATGCCAAACTGCTTTCCATAGTGGTGGTACCAGTCTACATTCCCACCGGCAGTCAATGAGGGCTCCCTTTTCTCCACAACCTCTCCAACACTGTTGCTGCTTGTCTTGTTGATGATGGCCACTTGACCAGATGTGAGGTGGCATCTCACTGTAGTTTTAATTTGCATTTCCCCGATTGCCAATGAGATTGAACTTCTTTTCATGTATCTATTGGCGTATGTCTTCTTGGGAGAGATATATTTTCAGATCCTCTGCCCACATTTTGATTGGGTTGTTTGTTTGGTGTTGAGTTTTACAAGATCTTTACATGTTTTGGAAATTAAACTTTTGTCAGAGCTACTGTTTGCAAATATCATCTTCCATCTGGTTGGCTGCCTGGTTGTTTTAGTGAAATAAGTCAAACAGAGAAAGCTAAGAACTATATGATTTCACTCAAATGTGGAATGTAAAACTGAAACTGATGTACACAAACAGCAGTGTCGTGGTTGCTAGAAGGAGGGGGGTGGGGGAAGAAAGGGGTCCTAATATGAGGTGATAGGAGAAGATTTGACTTTGGGTGGTGAGCCCATGGTCCTGAATACAGATTTTGTTAATAATAATAATCCACACATGAAATCTATATGCTCATGTTGACTAATATCACCCCAATAATTTTTTTAATTAAAAAAAAACCTATCTAGGAAATATACAAGCATTCACACGCTAATACATAAGCTTCAAATGTTTGTCTGCATTAGACACCTGACCAATATAGCCCCTCTCACTGTCCTTAGGTAGATCCCCCCCCCCCCAGTTCATGTTGTTTTCG